TGTAAAGGATTAACATTTTAGGATTTTAAAAAAGGAACAATGTCGAAATATTATTGCAGTTCATTTTTTAAAGACAAAAACTTGATTTTTCCACGTGCTTGCATCAGTCAGACGTCCACGAACATGTCAAAATATCTCATTGCACCACATCCACATCATTTCATTCTGTTCTTGTTGTTGTTGGGGGTTTTTTGTGCTTTTCTAAAGACGCTTACGGCACTTGCAACGTAACTAGATCACAATAAAAGTTCCGGGGATTAGAGGTACGTGTTACTTGGGAATAAAGTAACGTCATACACAGGGAAGTTTTCGCTTTAGTAAGCGTTTTACAGCACTTGCAACACAATTAGGTCATATAAGTGCCGAAGATTAGAAGTGTACTTAGGAGTAAAGTAACGTCATACACAGAGAAGGAGGACTCCCCTTCCCCTACCCAACAGAGCAGTGCTGCTGACTAAAGTGTCTTAAGGCCTTTCTCAAAAGAGGGGTGGGGTGATGATATTAACATGTTCTTATGCACAGTAGAATTGTAAATGGGCTGAATTATCAATGTCATGCACATACCGTGCTGGAACGACATAGGGGGAACTGCTGCTTTTTCTTACCTCATCCTCACTATCGTCATTTTTCTTCTACTTCTTTTGCATGTTTGTCACTATCTTGTGAACTGCTATTTCCGGGGTACCTTGATAGTCGAAACAGGTGCTGCTGGGGCTAGAGAGATGAGCAGAGTAAGCCTCATTCCGCATTTGGACTTCTCTGTTGACATCCACCCCTTGGCGCTCATATGACTAATGCAGCTGCAAGAGCCGTAAAATCTTACTAAAACAAAAAGAAGGAGGAGAGAAAAGAACGAGAGATGTTTGGAGGGAAAGAAGGAACAAACCCAAACGGAAGGCCCTCCAACCATCCGCTTACTTCATTGAGAATCACGCACTAGCTCATTTACTCCCTTTAAGAACAGTGAGACTGACAAATAAACATTTCTGAATGCCTGATTGTGGTGAACTTATCAAAATGTCGTTCACAGAACATGGCAGCAAGCGATGAAAGGAGGAAGGGAGATAAACTATGGTGTTCTCTACACCGGACATTTTTCATGGTTACTGCCCTTCCCACTTCCCCC